TAGTAGAAGTGTTATGCTTCAAACTGTTTTGGTATATTTTCCGTTTTCATCAATCTTTCTGTCATGTGTCTATAATATTTTCCAATGACTATTAATTTTTTCAAAAAAACTTGCATAAATTTGTCGCCACATTTATCAACTAAGAACTAAGTTTTGTTGCCAGAATTTATTTTTCCAGAACATTTCTAGTAATGTTATAGTGAAGAAAATTAAGGGTCAATTTGTGTAATAACCAAACAAAAAATGATAATTGGCAATCTAACCAAAAACTCTAAGATCTAATGACTATGATTTTGCCACATATGAGACTTTTGGTTAGATTGCCAATTATAAGTTTTTGTTTGGTTATTCATGCCAAATTCTCGAAAATTAATCTATTTTTTTTACAATATTTTTTTGTTTTGAAAAGAAAAAATAAGAGCGGAAGAAAATATACGTTGATCTCACAGGAGACTGAAATTAATATCGTTACATAGAAGAATATTTCAAGAAAAACTTTTGTTGTAAATTAAAGATTCTGAAATTGATGACTTAATTATGACGATAATTAATCTCGGTGGGTGTAGATGTACAACCCCAAATCAATTAAGAGAAGAAGGATAATTCATAAGTGGGTATATAACTTCTGGATTAGTTGAGAAATCATCGAAAATCTTTTGACTTTTTTCATTGTTTGCCTTGCCTTTTCGTTGAAAAGCCAAAAAGCAAAAGAAAAATCATAGAGTGGGATTTGGTAAAGGATAATTCAGGAAGTAACAAAAAAGGGAGAAAATAGAAACAATGATCATACTACTTTTACTGAATTTATGCAATCAATTACTTAACCTAATTAACATCTCGGTAAAAGCCTTCTAATTAAGTATCATTGGTTTCTATATTTTTCTTAGGATTCTCTCCTTTAAGTCTTTAACACTTTAATATAAACTTATTTTGGTCCCAACTTTCATTCGAAATTAAAAACATTAAACCAATCCCTCTTTTTATGTAGAAAACACATTTCTCGTACACCATATATGGATTTTTATTAAATTTGCAACGACATATATTAGAAGTGGTCAAAACTTTCGTCAAGTTCTACTATGAATATAGGTAAAGAAGTTATTTACACTAATTCTTATGTAATAATGAATTTATATATGTAATGCAGATGCATATGTGGGGACATGGATCTGAGTTCAGAAAAGGGGCTGACTCGTTGAAAGGCACAACCCAACCCGCGGCTATCCTGCGATTGCCATGCTATTGTTGCGCGGAGGGATGCAAGAACAACATCAACCATCCGCGGTCCAAGCCCTTGAAGGATTTCCGTACACTTCAAACACATTACAAACGTAAGCATGGCTCCAAGCCCTTCTCTTGCGGAAAATGTGGTAAGGCATTGGCCGTGAAAGGTGATTGGAGGACTCATGAGAAAAACTGCGGAAAGCTTTGGTATTGTACATGTGGATCAGATTTCAAGCACAAGAGGTCTCTCAAGGATCACATCAAGTCTTTTGGCAATGGACATTCTCCTCACCCGTCTCTTTTGTTTGACGGGTTTGAGGAGGATACAGAATGCGTCACCACAGAGTAATCAGAGCAATGTTAGATACACACCGGGGGACATCCATCGATAGGTAAGATCCGAATTTTCGAATGTTGCTTCAAAACTATGCACCACAAAACATCTCAAGTCTACCAAAGAATTTCTATCTTGAAAAGGGGGAAATTCTTTGTTAGACTCGATAGATCAAACTATAGAAATTTACCATATAAAAATGAAGCAACATTTTAAAATTTAGATCTTTTTGTTGGGATATGGTTACATTTATGGAACCCGGTGTTTGTCTAATATATATATATATAGTTTTTCTTTCAATTTGAGACATGGGCTTTAGTATTGGTGTGTTACGTTACGTAGTATGCATGTGATATCATTAGGGATCTTGGTTTGGTAGGGGATTTTTGCTACGAAGTCGAAGTACAACCTAAAGAAAATGTGAGGTTTTCAATTATGCTCACTAACAAAAACTTCTCTTTCGCGAGGGATGTATTTGTCGGGGAGCATTTTGTGTGGCTCGTGTAAACCCCTAGTTATTATCTTAGTGGTTAGTAATAAGTTTGATTTCAGCCCTAATTAGGGGTTTCCTTTTTAAATAAGAGTGTGATTATCTCTTAGAATTTTGTGAAGCACGTGAATTTTCTGTTTCTCTCATGTATTTGTACTAGAAGAGAAAATTCGTGTGCTTCACTTCATTATTGTACGATAATCCTCAATAGAGACTCTTGCTATTGTAACGCTTTTCATTTCATATCATATGTGCTTTCGATCTTATTGTTGTTACGACGAATTACACTTTTGTTTCTGTATCAAATCAACACATATAGTACTACTCAAACGCCTTTAGTTTGGTGTGTAAGAATATCATCTAAAATTTACCATATATTTCAATATGTATGACACCACAAATCTAAAATTGTACTGAGCAATCTTACCATTAGGGAAGTGTTGGCAACATCCTTCGTTCTCCACTGCCCAATCTCAAGCAAAATATTTGAGACTCGTAGAACAAAAACGATACAGAGTAAACTCTCTTGCGAACAAGCTTCTTCGCTTGAACAACAACTTTTTTTCTGACAAAACTCTTGATGGTACTATTTTCAATGGTAAACTTTTACCAAAGGAAACTTGAATCCTTTTGGCAAAAATGGAATGGCCCTGGGGTTGTATTCCAGGTCGCGATACAGTTTATATTCCGCTTCATAGTCATGAAGCTTAAGCTCTGCTTTCTGATTAGTATGGTAATGGTGCTTTGTTGAATTCAACTTCCCAAACCCGAAAACACTAACTTTCTCACAAATCCCCACTGCAAACATCACTGCCTGCATACCCGACGAGTAGTGAAACAACGAGCCTTCGTGATCTTTACTCCAATCTTGAAACCCTTCCGTTGTTTTCTCTTCCAAGAACCTCTTTACCGAGTAATACTTCACTATTCTAGCACACAGGACATCGAATCTCGGATCCGTGATAACCAGAGGAGCTCGATGAGAGGGCTTGCAAACCGTGTAATCCAAAACATGAATCGGTTGGCAAATGTACATGACAATGGGGACTGTTTCGCCATACGGATGACAATGGCAACTATCCCTTCTTGCACACTGATGCAGAATGTTACTGTTTATGAAAGATATGTTTGTTTTCGATCCGACTCTCTTCTCAAACCTCTGTGTTTTCGCATTGTTCAATCGAATCACAATCTCGTGTTTATCGATGAAACCACCGTATTGGCTATTCAGCAATGTACCGCTATTCCCAACCACTGCACAAGATGAGTATCTTTCACTCGAAATCGAAACAACACCATTCTTGTTGTTGTTGTGAGAATCAATCGGATTCTTAACCAATCTAACCAAATCTAGCATGATGTTAGGTTCATAAGCTTTTCTACGAGCCCAGAAGCGTAAATTCCTCTTGAATTCTGACCAGTAACGATAAAACTGAGGGGAGCGAAGCGTTACCGCATATTTGGAAGGAATGTCTCGGTTCCCATGGCGGCTATCGATCGGCCTCGACATGGAGCTGAAATGGCGGCGGTGAGTTCTCCGAGTGTTATCGTAATCGGAAATCAGATCGACCTCTTGCTTGAATTTGAGTTCTCCGGGATCAATGGAGGCGAATTCGAGCAATGTCTCGTTGAATACAACCACTTCTTCAGTCATGAGACCGGAAGTACCGAGCTCAGCTATGGCGGAACTGAAGGAGAAGCTTCTCCGACGAATCGCTACTCTGCAGATAAGCGTTGCGGCGAGGAAGCCGAAGAGTAGAGCGCTGAACAGAGGTCGAACTGATCGTTTCATCACGATAAGAACGTCGGAAGGAGCTAAACCGACAAAAATGGACGGTACGGGTCGGAAATCGAGAGGGTCGAAGTCGGATCCATTGATGGGTATAATAAACTAATCAG